TCAGCCCGGCCTGTGCCCTCTCACAGTCTGGGACCCCTCGGAGATAACGACCTGCTGGCTTAGGCCTGCTCCCGGGTGGCAGAGGGCAGGCCCAATCCCTAGGTGCAGCCTCTGGTCGGGCTCAGAGCAGAGCCGATTGAGGAGTTGGGGCGCCGCCCCCTGTCATGCACAGAGCAGGGCAGATCGGGAGGTTGCGATGCCACCCCTAGTCACGCTCAGGGTAGGGCCGATTGGGGGGTTGGGGCACCGCCCCCTGTCACACTCAAGGCAGGGTCGATAGGGAGGTTGCGGCGCCACCCCCTGTCATGCACAGAGCAGGGCCCATCAGGGGGGTTGGGGCTCCGTACCCTGTCACGCACAGAGTAGGGCTGATAGGGGAGTTGGGGCACCGCCCCCTGTTACACACAGAACAGGGCGGATCAGGGGGTTGGGGCGCCTCCCTCTATCACCCACAGAGCAGGGCCAATCAGGGGGTTGGGGCGCCGCCAATGTCACACTCAGGCAGGGCTGATGGGGAGGTTATGGCTCTACCCCGTCACACACAGAGCAGGGCCCGTGGGGGGGGGAGGGTTGGGGCTGGGGCGTCGCACCCTGTCACACACAGAGCCGCAGGGCAATCAGGGGGTTGGGGAGCTCCCCCCTATCAGGCACAGAGCAGGGCTGATCAGGGGGTTGGGAGCCTTCCTCTTTCACGAACAGAGCAGGGCGGATAGAGAGGTTGTGGCCCCACCCCCTGTCACACACAGAGCCGCAGGGCGATCAGGGGGTTTGGTCACTGCCCCCTGTCACGCTGATCCTGGGGCGTGAGGCCTCGCGGCTCTGCTGATCCCAGTGCTGGGAGGCCTCGCTGCTCCACTGATTCTGGTGCTGGGAGGCATATTACCCTTTTACTATATAGGATAGAGGCCTGGTGCATGGGAGGGGGCTGGCTGGTTTGCCCTGAAGGGTGTCCTGGATCAGGGTGGGGGTCTACCACTGGGGTGCCTGGCCAGCCTGGATGAGAGGATGATGGCTGTTTGCAGCTGGTCACACTCCCTTCAGGGTGGGGGTCCCCACTGGGGTGCCTGGCCAGCCTGGATGAGGGGATGATGGCTGTTTGCAGCTGGTCACACCACCTTCAGGGTGGGGGTCCCCACTGGGGTGGCTGGCCAGTCTGGGTGAGGGGCTGAGGGCTGTTTTCAGGCTGGCGGGTGACTTAAACTCCCAACCTGTCTTTTTTTTCTTTTCTTTTTTATTCTGGCCAGCTTTAGCTCTGAGGCTTGGCTCCAGCTCTGAGGCCTCGGCTGCTGAAAGCAGGTATCTGGTTTGTTTGGGTTCTATAATTGTAACACTGTTGCGGTCCTGCTCACTCCAGCTCTGAGATCCCGGCTGGCTGAAAGCAGGGATCTGCGTTTGTTCTATAATTGAAACAATGTTGCGGTCCAGCTGCCTGAAGCCAGGCTGTCTGAAAGCAGGTTTCTGGGGTTTTGTTTAGCTCCTATATTTGTAACAGTGTTTCTTAAACTGCAAGCTCAGAGGCCAGCAAGGCAGGCGGGGAACGTTGGCTTCCTCCGTCACTGAAGCAAGCAAGCCTCCTGTTCGCTTCAAGCTGCCTGGCTGCCGGCCGCCATCTTGGTTGGCAGTTAATTTGCATATCGCCCTGATTAGCCAATGGGAAGGGTAGCAGAGGTACGGCTAATTACCATGTTTCTCTATTATTAGATAGGATTGATTTCAGAGAGGAAGGGAGAAAGAGAAACATCAATGATGAGAGAGAATCATTGATCGGCTGCCTCCTGCATGCCCCACACTGGGGATTGAGCCCTGATCAGGAATCAAACCTTGACCTCCTGGTTCATAGGTTGACGATCAACCACTGAGCCATGCTGGACAAGCCCTATCACTGGTCTTAACAGTCCACTAGTAGCAGGGGACTGAAAATGTAGAGGCCACCACTAAAATGTTACTGCATTCTTCTTTTCAGTGGATCTGATGACACCTTAAAAGGGAAGCTGAGATGCCGTAACCGGTTTGGCTCAGTGGATAGAGCGTCGGCCTGCGGACTGAAAGGTTCCAGGTTCGATCCCGGTCAATGGCATGTACCTTGGTTGCAGGCACATCCCCAGTAGGAGGTGTGCAGGAGGCAGCTGATCAATCCCTTTCTAACTCTCTATCCCTCTCCCTTCCTCTCTGTAAAAAATCAATAAAATATATTTTTTTTAAAAAAAGGGAAGCTGAGAGCTTGGTGGGGGATCTCAAGGTCTTGACTGCTACATCTGATCACATCTGAGCCACCTTTTTGTCTGGAGCACATGCAGTATGGGCTACTCAATATGATTTGAAACTCTCACATCTTCCAGGAGATAAAAATTACTGTAAACCATGTAATAAAGAATATCCATTTTCTCACCCAAGAACTTAAAACGACTCAACACAAAGTGCTCCCAAACTGACTGTCTGATCTGGGATCCCAGATCATGTGCTGTATTTGGAAGCAACTGCTGCATATTCCCCCAAACTTCTCTGAACTCTATGTATTAGTATAAACAAGAACAATCGAGTTGCTAACAAAGAAATTCATCTGTTGCTACTGTAGATCTGACCCCATCACTGAAGGACCTTTCCGTACTAATCTACTGGATTCTACTAGATTGGTTACTGTCTGGTCTCAAGTTCAGGTTTTATTCCTTATTACAACTTCTAAAAATTGTTTTTTCTGCTTGTTCTTATATGTATCCCCTGATTGAATGCCTTGTCTCCTGAACCCTTCTTACTTCCAGATCAGTCACAGCACAGTAGATGCTTTTTCCCAAGAACAGCATCAACAAGCTCTGGCCAGATAGCTCAGTTGGTTAGAGCCGTGGTCGGCAAACTGCGGCTCGCGAGCCACATGGGGCTCTTTGGCCCCTTGATTGTGGCTCTTCCTAAACCTTAGGAGTACCCTAATTAAGTTAATAACAATGTGCCTACCTATATAGTTTAAGTTTAAAAAATTTGGCTCTCAAAAGAAATTTCAATCGTTGTACTGTTGATATTTGGCTCTGTTGACTAATGAGTTTGCCGACCACTGGGTTAGAGCATTGTCCCAATATGCCAAGGTTTTGGGTTCAACCTCCAGTCATGGCACATACAGGAAGCAACCAGTGAAAGCATGGATGGGTGAAACAACTGATTCATGTTTTTCTCTCTCTTTCTCTGCCCCCTCCTTTCTCTTTCTCTATACAATCAATAAATACAATTTTAAAAAAAGAAGAACAGCATCAACAAGAAATGTTGACTTTGTGAACTCTTTCAGGGAACCTTGACCAAAATTCCACAGAAATTATTCTAATTCCAAAGATAGTTCTAAGGCAAACTACGTTTGTTTGACAAGGCCAATAAACACAGACCCTTCTCTTTTGCCCAAACCTGCTGACAAAGCCAGGTACAGACCCTCCAATTTTCCACTCCATCTCATTATTGACTAGAACTGTGCATCAGGTTCGATTAGCTAAGATTAGAACTCTTGTTCCTCCTGAAACTTGCTAACTACAGAGTAAACACATTTCCTGTTTAGATATCTGATTGAAACATCTCCTGCTTGCAAAACAACCCTTACTGTAAGTCTCCAGTATATTACATGTTAATTTCTTTCCACAAGAGTCTGAGGCAAAACCATGCCACTGAGAACCTCTGAGACTCAGATCTGGGGGACTCTCCATATTGCAACATCAACCTTTTTACTTGTCCAGTTTTTGTCTTTGACAGAAGCTATACAACTATTCTCTGACTGTTAGGCAGGTGGTCTGTCTGGAGAGACTGTGAGCTACAGGGGATTTCTGGAAAAGATTGTGAGCTACCATTTAACCTCAGCTTTATTTAGCCCCTTGCTACAAGTGTGTTTTGTATAGACACCAAGATGTGACTGGACCTCCTTTAACTGACTCTGCCTTCACCCAGTTGAGACAAATGTCCCATCTGCACATACACAACACACATATACACACAATACAACATTGATAAATAATGTAGACT